ATGATGATGATGATGATGATGATGATGATGATGATGATGATGATGATGATGATCATCATCATCATCATTATTGGTTGATGGCGCTCATGACGTGGTTGTTGCGCTCTATGCAATTGCACGCAGAAGACGCAACTTCGATTCCCCAGTGGGAAAATCTTTTGAACTTTTCCCCTATTTGATAAGTATTCCCCATATCTACACTTCAGAGATTTTGCTGAAGGTGTTCGCCTCTCATTCAAAGGTCTCGGGTTCGAATCCCGGTAGCGACGGGAAAATGTTCTTATCTAAAATGTTCTCCTTTCACCTCCTTTCCTGCTCTCTAGCAAAGTTCTGTCGTCTGCTTTCGTCAGCACTTTCTGCCCCTCCCCCCCCCAACCTCCTTTGCCCCCCTCCTCTTGGTTCTTGACTCTTTCTGCAGCCTTTATACTGCTACGCCTTTGCTTTTTACTGCTGTCTTTCAGCCGCACCCTTGATCTTCTGGTAGGAAAGATCTACACCTATCCTTCTCGGACAAGGGCGAAAAACCCGGAGGTCACCCCTAACAAAACCTAGAGTGTTGAAAAGGGCGTTAAAGCTAGGCAAAGGTGGGTGGTTGGTGGATGCTCTGGTGTGGTTTGCTCCTTCTTTCCAAGCAAGCTTCTATCGTCCGTGTCTATCCTCCTTCTTCTTCGTATTTTTACTCTCTTGCAACACCTCTAATCTTATCTTCAGCACTCACATGACCCTATATGGTTGCTTGCGCCGTAACACTCTTACTAAAACACCCCCCTCCACCCCACCCCCTTTCTCCAAAAAACACGCACATCCAAAACAACAACAACAACAACAACAGCAACAACAAAAGCAACAACAACAACCACAACAACAACAACAACAACAACAACGTCTGGATGATGTGTATTCTGGGTACTCCAATAAGCGGGAACAAAATATCACATGTCGCTGGAACCAGGTTGAGCTAGCGAGACTGTGGTCGGACCATCATTGGAGCTTGAAATGGTATAAGAACTTTGTAAATGAAGAGCTCAGCCCACGTTGCCGAAGATGCGGCCATGAACAGGAGGATGTCAAACATATTATGTTTTAATGTCTAGGAACAATGGCAATTCGAATGGAGTTATTTGGACGAGTGGAGGTGCCTCTAAGCATGTTATTGACAATGGAGCCGAAAAAGAGCCTCGCTCTCGCTCTAAGATTTCTTCATGGAGTCGCCAGGTCCATTAAGGAAAAACCACACATCCAAAACAACAACAATAATAACAACAACAACAACCACAACAACCCAGGCACTTACATTATACTAACAGTTTTCTGTTTTAACCCTTTTCAGGAACATCCATGCTGGGATAAGGAACGACAAGACTATAGCAGACAGAGCCAAAACATTCGTGGGTGAGAAAGGGTTAGGGCTGGACATCTTCATATTTGGGCAGGATTCTACGTCACGGCTAGCTATGCTACGTCATCAACCTAAGACCAGGGAATATCTCGTGAAGGAGCTGGGAGCCATCGAATTAGAGGTAGGCTTAACAGGAGCGGCTGTTTGTTTGTTCTTCTATTTGTTTGTGTGTCTGTCTGTTTGTTTGTTTGTATGTCTGATTGTTTGTGCATTTATTTGTCTGTTTGTCTACATCTCTCTGTCTGTCTTTTTATCTTTTGTTCGTTTGTATGTCTATCTATCTATCTATCTATCTATCTATCTATCTATCTATCTATCTATCTATCT